GGTACCCTGCACCCTGCAATAGTTACCCAGGCAAGCCGAGCAGCCACCCCGGGTTCAGGGTTTAGGGTTTAGGGTTTAGGGGTTTGGGTTTAGGGTTTAGGGTTTAGGGTTTAGGGTTTAGGGTTTAGGCGATCCCCCAAGTGAGGAAGAGATGCAGATCGCCATCGAAGAGCAGCACGGAGCTAACCCGTTCTACACCTACGCGAAGCCGGGCTGTTTTTTTTGTGCACATTTTCGGATTTGCCCTCTAAACCCTAAACCCTAAACCCTAAACCCTAAACCCTAAACCGTTCCGAAGGGTTTTAATGGCCAGCCCAGGAATGAGAAATGTGGCGGTGCCACAACGGCGGATTTCGACTTCCAGATGGACTACCTGCCGAAGGCCAGGATCCCGGGAATCCTAGGGTTTCGGGTATAGGATTTAGGGTGTAGGATTTAGGGTTTAGGGTGTAGGATGTAGGGGTTAGGATTTAGGGTTTAGGGTTTAGGGTGTAGGATTTAGGGTTTAGGATTTAGGGTTTAGGGTTAAGGATTTAGGGTTTTTGGTTTAGAGTGTAGGGTTTAGGGTGTAGGATTTAGGGTAAGCAGGGTTGAACCAGCGGTTTTTCGGAGCGGAGTGGAGGGTTTAGGGTCTTGGCTGGGCAGTTGGGCTTCGGTCGCAGAGGGTTTTGGGGGATATCCGTCTTCGGGGCTTTAGGTTCAAGGTTTTGGGTTTAGGGTTTTGGGTTTTGGGTTTAGGGTTTTGGGTTTTGGGTTCAGGGTTTAGGGTTTTGGGTTTAGGGTTTAGGGTGTAGGTCTTGAGAGTTAAGGGTGCCACGCTCTAGATTGCTGGCAGGACTGCTTTGCCTTTGGCTTCGTGGAGCCCATATCTGTTGAAGGCCAGAAGGGCTTCCTTCAGATCGACAAGAGGAGCTTCGTGCAGTGCACCAAGATGCAGCTCCAGCCGAACGGCGGCTCCAGCAACAAACTCAACACCTACGGGCTCACGCTCTCCTTCTGCTGCCCCAGCCTGCCCCAAAGTGAGCCGGGGGGTGGCGCCGTCTCCGCCGCGCGCATCAACATCCACTACGCGATTGCCGACATCTACTTCGTGTATGCCGGGAAGGAGACAGGGCACTCAGGGGACCAGAAGCAGCCCCAAGACCCTCAAGCCCAAACCCTCTCAACCCCGAACCCTCTCCACCCCAAGCCCTGTGCGTTGAGGGTTTAGGGCTCTGACCCAAACCCTAAACCCTAAACCCTAAACCCTAAACCCTAAACCCTAAACCCTAAACCCTAAACCCTAACAGGAGAAAGGGGACCAGAAGCAGCACACGCACGAGTTCAAGTTGGAGCCTGGAGAGCACATCACCGAGATCCAGACTCGCTATGCCCCTGTTCAGGGTTTAGGGTTTAGGGTTTAGGGTTTAGGGTTTAGGGTTTAGGGTTTAGGGTTTAGGGGCTTTGGAGCACCATACCTTGATACCTTTTTTGGGGGCCCTGTTCCTCAAAGGAACCTTTATGAAGCAAAAGTCTATACGCCCTTGAAACCCTAAACCCTAAACCCTAAAACCCTAAACCCCAAACCCTAAACCCTGAAAGTCACAATGCTGCCCAA